GACTTAGACTTTGATTTACTCTTTGATTTCGAGCTTTTGCTGCGTTTGTGTTTGGGCTCCAAATCAGACACTTCCGACTCATCGTCGAGACTCAACTCATCCGATTCCTCTTCACTCGACACTTGTTGCACGTCTTCGTCATCAGTGGACTCTTCCTCTGAAGTGACTTTGAAGTCCTCATCGCTTCCTTTGGACTCGTCGTCACTCAACTCCAACGCTATTCTCTTAAACTTTTTTCTGTCGCTCTCTCTATGACTGGCCTTTCGTTTCAAATCAGATTTCGGTTCACATTTCATGGCCTTTGACTTCGGGGTCTCTTTCCCAACACTCGAGCCCTTATTAGGCGAACTCATCGACACATCTTTAGGAGTCGAGACATCGACGTCGATGTCAGACAACTCTTCGTCCTCATCATCGGTGGCGCGGAGTTCGGCGATCAGAGTATAGCGATCGTCGACCGCCATCTTCATGGCCTGGTCTGCGAACTCAATCGCTTGGTTCCACTTGAGGTCTTTGAGGAGCGGCACATCGGACTTGGTTTTGCCGAAATACTCTTTCATGGATCTGACCGTCGATGACAACAATCAATACAATGGTCACATCATTCACACCACTCACACATACCGTACGCCAATCCACGCGCGCGACACCGGGTCGTCAAAGAACTGGACGTGAATGGAGACCTGTTTGCCCTTCCGTTTCACGTGTGTATTCAACTTCGGGTGCGGACAGACAATGGATGGCCACCAGGGATACCTGTGCTCAGTGGACATACCAAAGCAACAAATGGACAGTTAGTTCACGAGCGCGAACAACCAACACAACGTAACAGTGAAATACCCGTCGAGTTTGGCCCAAACCAAGTCATACAACTTGAAGGCACTGTCGGCCCCCGTGTCGGACGTCTGTGAACTGGTGGCCCCACCGCTGGACTGTCCCTCACTCGCGCCGGCTTTGCCATTGTGTCCGCCATTGGTCTTGTGGTCACTCTTACTGACACTCGCGTTGCCCTCACGGCTGGCGAAGTAATTCAATAAAGTGTTGTTTGGTTTCCCTTTCTTCATGTCTTCGGCTTCAAAGTACCTTAAAATGAGATATAGATTTGCTTATCAGCTCACATGCACTAACATAGTTAGTATCTGGGCTATATCCAGGCACTAAACAAACAATACTGATAACACTTCTATGTACCGGGTGATCAGATAGTATTGAGATAATAATGAAATTATTTTTGTTATTAAATATTGAAAAACATGTTATTCTAAACATCATATTTAGTTAATTAATTCAACAATTTAGTTGATAATGTTCACAATTAGTTAATTTCGTTAAATAATTGCTTAATTTAGTTAATTAAGTCAACAATTTGGTTAATAAATTAGTTAATATAGTTAAAAATTTAGATGATCTTGTTAACAAATTGCTTAATTTAGTTCATAATTTAGTTAATTAAGTGAACAATTTAGTTGATATTGTTCACAATTAGTTAATTTCGTTAACTAATTGCTTAATTTAGTTCACAATTTAGTTAATATAGATAAAAATTTAGATAATCTTGTTAACAAATTGCTTGATTTGTTAACTTAATTAAGCAATTAGTGAACTAAATTATGAAATAGACGAAAGTAAATTAAATTAAACACTTGAACTAAATTAAGCAATTATNTTATGAAATAGACGAAAGTAAATTAAATTAAACACTTGAACTAAATTAAGCAATTATTTAACGAAATTAGCTAATTGTGAACAATATCAACTAAATTGTTGACTTAATTAACTAAATTATAAATTAAATTAAGCAATTTATTAACAAAAATTAGTTAATTTGTAACTATATTAACTAATTAATGAACTAAATTATTGACTTTATCAAGTTTTTAATTTAGTTTCAGCTATTTCATAATTTTGATCACTAAGTGCTTAATTCAGTTAACAATTCAGTTAATAATCAAAAGTAGACTGCTAGAGTAATGCATTAAAATAGATTTACTAAACCTTTAATCTAGTAAACTTATTTTAACAAATCAATAAAAAATTGTGATACATGTAACATAACGAATAATCATAACGTATAATTTATATTTATACTAGATTTGATTTTGCGGGTTATGCGGGTTCTCAAGTCCTCATTTTTACACTCACTGCTATGCATCCCAAGTCAGCTAAAATCAGTGTATTTGTTGCCTTTTTTGTCACTGAATCCTGTCCTTAGTAATATACTATAAAATTTACCTGTATGTGTTTATAAACACAAAAATCAAAATCATTATTAATGTGATGTATATAAAAGCCATTGTGAATATAAATAGTAGAATGGATCTTGATTATTTCTAAAAATATAAATTATATAAGGATTCATTTATTAAAATAAGTAAATATATATATATATAGAATTACTATATTCAGATAACTTACTAAATTGTATTATAAATTAAAAGTGGAACAAACAATAAAATAGTTAGTAGAAATTTAATTAAACTACTTGCAAGTATTTGGTGTTCGTACTGCATAGACTGTAAATATAATAATTTGCAAAAAATAATTCAAATCCGCATGGTCATTCGTAATGTAAAATCATTTTACTTGATAACCAATTGGCGTTATGCTTAGTTGTTGCCAACGCTTATAACCAGAGAATTACAAAATATTACAATTTGTAATATTCTTGCATATATTATAAATTTACTAATTCACCATGTTATTCACTTTTGGGTCACACTGCTTGTAACTGGTTCAATTCAAATGTGGAGTCGTTATCACAATGCACTTCTAGAGTGACAAGTGGTTTAACAGACCCAAGGTGACATTTTACATTTGACAGTACAGTACATGTAATCTATAAGCCTTTCGTACGAATGGACAGTAACTTGAATTTATTGAGAAAGAAATAAATATTTGAATTGTTTTGTATTATTTTTCATTAAACAGTAAGAATTATTGATCGCTATATTTTGTGAATCTCTTTTAAATACATAGTTTTCATTTATAAGCAACCTAGACTAACTTTCAATAAATGCAAGAAATTAGCCAATAATTAGTAGAAAGTTAGTTTAAAAATTTATTAAAATTGTAAGCAATTTTATCATTAAAAACATAAGAATTGTGTAAGCCTAAAACCATTTAAAGGTTTTTGCCATGTAGCGTTTACTGTATATGAAATATTTTTTAAACTTCTATCATACTTTTATTAAACTTATTCATTATAAAAGTATGATAGAAGTTTAATAAATATTTCATATACAGTAAGCGCTACATAGCAAAAACCTTTAAATGGTTTTAGGCTTACACATATATTGAAGTTGAACATAAAGTGAATGTTAAGACTAAATGCGAGAAAAACATTGAAAGCTTTGAGATTAAGAATAATGACATTTTCAATAAAAACTCCCAAAGAATCGGAATCCGAGTGTAGAGTAGAATAGGAATAGAATGTATAGAATAGGAAATGTGTGTCCATTGGATATAATGGTCAGTAATTGTCATTTGATAGACCAGTCCTCCAGTCCGGTGCCAAACAGTTCGTAGAAGTGGACACACAATGTGTGCCTACAATGAAAACATTCAAATTCAGTGATAACAATGAAATTATGATTTACTTGGAGGCAGAGACAATGGGTTTTAACAATAGTTGGGTTTATATTAAAATTATATATAAATAGTGAACATAACGCAAAAAGACAAACAAACAAGTACATTTATATATAAATATGTCAAATATATTGAACAAACAATTCAATATAGCGTTTGATGCGAGTTATAGAAGCAATGAATCCAATAATGCACTCAAACTGTGCGCCAAAAGCAAAGCATAGCTCTCGTATTGGTTGGACATTAAGCGCCAAAACAAATGCCACTATTTGTGTAGAAAAGTGCGAATCGATTACGCAATCAGTGTTTAAATGTTTGTTTGGCTTTCAATGACTGTATGTGCGATACGTTCAGTGATTCACTGATTCACTGATTGTGCGGTTGATTCACATCTAAGACACGAGACATCACTCAATGAACACGTGATTGAGAGCCGAAGACATGAAGAAAGGGAAACCAAACAACACTTTATTGAATTACTTCGCCAGCCGTGAGGGCAACGCGAGTGTCAGTAAGAGTGACCACAAGACCAATGGCGGACACAATGGCAAAGCCGGCTCTGATCACCCGGTACATAGAAGTGTTATCAGTATTGTTTGTTTAGTGCCTGGATATAGCCCAGATACTAACTATGTTAGTGCATGTGAGCTGATAAGCAAATCTATATCTCATTTTAAGGTACTTTGATGCATAGCCCTATGCACTAATCCATGTACAGGTGTACTGATAGTGTATGGTTTTATAGTGGTGGTGCTTATCCCTGATAAGTTATCAGTGAGCATAGATTCATTTACTCGACTGAACTGAACCCAAGTCTGAACTAAAAACAGTGTATTTGTTGCCTTTTTTGTCACTCAATCCTGTCCCTATATATTACCAACACATATTTAATAAGATTTTTCTTAAATTAGAAAGTTTTCAAACACTTTTAATTATTGGACTAAACAAGGTATACAGGGTCCAACACCAATTCCAATATTTGGGAACTATTTGCAAACATTTTTTACCTCGAGGCATATTCGGGAACTAGAGTGGTATAATACATTTGGTAACATTTATGGGTAATTATATCAATTATAAGAACTATTCATAATCTGTATATTGTAAAATATATAATTTTATTTAAAAAATACCCATAGGCATTTTATGGGAACTATGTCGGTTCTAAATATTGCTGATCCCGAACTTATAAAACTGATCTTAGTAAAGGATTTCCACGTGTTCACTGATCGCGCTAAGGTATGGCGTTCCTCTGATAACATTATGAGCAAAAATCTTCCTCAACTACACGGACACCAATGGCGGAGAGTTCGTTCAATCGTGAGTCCATTATTTACTTTGGGAAAAATACGTAGATTTGAACCCAAAATAAAGGACTGCCTTGATAACTTTACAAAACACATTGACAATCTATTAATGAATAATGAATGTATGAACATGGACACACTGAAATTATTTAATAAGCTCACCTTGGACGTGAACGCTCGCCAAGCGTTTGGTATTGAAATTGATATTTATGGTCAATCGGAGAATAATTTATTCGTAGAAAACGGACAGAAAATGTTAATTTACAGCGGATTTCGCGATTTAATGACAATTATGTTACCAAGATCAATGCATGGTTTGTTGGGAATGTTTTGGAAATCTCGGTCAAACGGTTATTTCGTGAATGTTATCCGAAATGTTATTTCACGACGACTTCAATATCCTGATGAACGACACGATGACTTTATTCAACTATTTATGGACGCAAGGCTTACAGACGAATTTGAAAAAGGTTAATATTTATATTTTATTGTTATACAAGCTCAATTTTATTAATCAAACAATTTGTTTACTACAAACATTTAGTTATAATTATTAGTAATATACTAATCCCAAAATCTGTCATAATATAGATACCCAGGGTCCAAATAAGAAGTTCGTGAATAAACGTTTGACCGAAAATGAAATGATAGCCAATGCGTTCGGATTTTTATTGGCTGGCCATCAGACCACATGCTTCGCACTGTCCTATTGTCTACACGAGTTGGCCCTCAATCCGTCTGTCCAACAGATACTATACGACGAGATAAACGGTGCCACCGATTTGGACGGACAGATACCGTACGACAGTGTGTTGGCACGACTACCCTATTTAGACGCCGTCTTATCGGAGACCCTGCGCCGACATTTTGCTGTTAGTCCCATATCACGGGTCGCCGCCATTGACTACACACTCGGCAACACCGGTATCACCATTAAGGCCGGGCAACAAATTGAAATACCCGTCTATTCAATACACAATTCGGATAAGTATTTTGTGGATCCGTTTCGCTTTAACCCGGATCGGTTTTTGGTCCAAAATCGTCGTAATATAAGGCCATACACTCTGTTGTCATTCAGTAGTGGCCCTCGAAATTGCGTTGGGGAGCGATTCGCCATGTTGACAATCAAAATGACCCTGGCACACATGATCAGAAAGTATCGATTTAATACATGCACCGAAACCGATGACCCAATTCGCTACCAAAAGTTCACTCACTTTATGTTACCCGAGAGGTTGATCGTTAGAATTGAGCCCAGGGTGTGATTAATATAACAAATTGTAATACTGAACATTTTTATTCAAGACAATTTATTCAAATGTTCTCTAATTAGTATTTTTATTTCAAAATGTTCAAATAAATCTTATACTTAATTATTCGTAATCTTACTAAAATGCACCATCAATGATAACTTTACATTTTTACCTTAAGTTTTGGGAATGAATTTTTAAAAAGTTACTAACTGAGGATGTCAGTGATGGTTAAACGTGAATTCAACAAACTAATTTATTAAATTCGCCAAGTTTAATCAATTCGAATCAAATCAAATGTTAATTATGTTATCGGCTAACTAGTAATGACAATCATAACCACTCAGCTTATATTTGTCCGATGTTTCCAACTTAGAACTTAATCCTTCATTACTAACAGAAATCATTCACTCTTTCATAATATTAGGCGACATTTATAACAAAAATGACAATAAATGTCTGAAAACTTTATGCACTCAATGAATCACTTGAAACTCCATTGAATGCCAAATAAAAACAGAATTACTACAGGGGTGTCCTTTGAGCGCCGCCATCGACCGGAAATATATCGCCGGTAATGAAGGACGCGGACAGGGATGAGGTGAGGAATGCCACGGCATCGGCCACTTCGACCGGTTCCCCAATACGTGCCAACGGGTGAGTATCGGCGCAACGCTTCTCAAAGGCTAACCACTTGTCGCCCAACGCTGTCTCCGAGAGTGGGGTACGGATAAGACCCGGACTATTATGCGGTGGGAGGGGGTGTGGTATGTGTTGAAATCAAACATAATTACTATACCTATGGCGTAGCCTTACTATACCTGACACTATTGACTCGTATCCCTTTGGGTGTCAACTCGAGTGCCAAACATTTGGTGAACATATTGAGCGCATTCTTAGCCATATTATAAGCCATCGCTTTCGGCATCTGTTTTACACCCAATTTGTGCCACAAATTTGAATATTTGATTGAATTTTGGTAAAAGTATTTACCGGTAGTTCTACACCTATACTTGAAATGTTAATAATATTGCCTTTACTTTGCTCCAGATATGGGACCACCAAATGGGTCACCACCTGAACACTCCTGAGGTTGAGATCAAACATCTGATCAAAACATTTAAGATAACTGTTGGACGAGAATTGACAGACGAGTGTATGGCCCGCGTTATTGACCAGAATATCAATTCCGACAAATTCTCTGAGAGTAGTATTCACTAAATTCTTGACATCACTCTCAACCTCGATGTCAGCCACCACTCCAAGTGCTCGCCCTCTGGACAGAGATTCACACTTTTTGACCACAGAATCCATCTTATTTTGATCCCTTCCGGTGATGACTACGTGTGCGCCCAGGGATGACAACTTGACAGCAATCTGTGCGCCGATTCCCGACGACGAGCCTATCAATGAATTTATAAAACAAACAAATTTAAAGATAATGTTTAATGAAGTTAAGCAATATTTGAGTCTAAACTTTGAAGGATAATAAAAACGTGCGCTGAAATTGACTCCGGGCTAAACTAAACTATAACAAACATCATTTGAAATGTTTCAACTTATTTTTTGATTTAAAAATCTATGAATATTGTACGAATAATTGACATTTGAATAAAATTATTAAGTAAATATAAAAATTGCTAATGTCACTCTGATCCTATAAACTTTATAGTATAAAGGTTCTATCATAAAACATGTTAACAGGTTCTATTATAACAAAAGCCAAAAATTTTATATTATAATATAAATTGTAATAATTAAATGTAATATAAATATTTTTTATCCAATATATTTGATCTAAACAACATATTTGAGACTCAACTCGCAATCTTTACCATAATTAGCATGGTGATAGTTTATGCCTAATAGAAACATAATATAAAATCCTAGGTGCTCAATCCGAAAGTTGGCAGTAATAGCTGATAATCAATGGCCCGAAAGCTTACGGATTGCATCAAAAATTATTAAAGAAATGTATCAATAAATTGAGTGAAAAGTAAAGATTTATTCATTTTATAACATTTAAACATTATTCACAAAATGTTTGATAAATGATTTTCAATGAATAATTCACTCATCTGTTAAAATTAACAGTAAATCTAAAGTTTGAAATCCAAGTGTTTATCTACTTTTTTTTATAAAAATTTGAAAACAGGATAACTGATATACATTTTAAATGAAGTTAGCATGTTATATAAATTTTCAAATAAGATTTATTTTCAATTCAATTCACAATTAATTCAAACACATCATTCAGTCTACAAATATAAAAGAGATAAAAAATTTATAGATTATTCATTGGAAAAGCATTTATCAAACATTTTGTGAATAATGTTTAAATGTTATAAAATGAATAAATCTTTACTTTTCACTCAATTTATTGATACATTTCTTCAATTATTTTTGATGCAATCCGTAAGCTTTCGGGCCATTGATTATCAGCTATTACTGGCCAACCTTTGGATTGAGCACCTAGGATTTTATATTATGTTTCTATTAGGCATAAACTATCACCATGCAAATTACGGTAAAGATCTGCGAGTTGAGTCTCAAATATGTTTTTGTTTAGATATTTTCTAACAGAACACTTAAAGTTTTGTGCAAAATTCAATAAAATAATTAACAAATATATTAAAATGCAAAATTCATTGGAATAACAAATGACATTTAAATTTCAAACAATTCCTCTTAATTTTTTATAAAATGTGCTATATCATTTTTTAAGTACTCGTTTAACATTCTTATTTAATATGTGACTTGTAAAAATTGTGTATAAAAGTACATAGAGCAAACTATTCAACATTTATATGTTTTAAATTTAAGTTTAAAATAATAGTAGATTTATTATACATTCCGTGAATTATGACTTTAATGTTAGGGTCAGTGTTGGCACCGATTTGTCAGACATACGAGTGGTGTCTCATAGGACTCATTGTGGCGGTGATCGCCTATTACTACATGTAAGGCATATGTATATTAGATTTAATTAAATTTGAATTAATCTAAAACATAATATTTCATGAAATTATTCATTCATTCATTCATTGAGTTCGTGGAGGAAT